GCACTCCGTCGTCCACTTGAAGCTGTTGGCTTTCCGCATGATCTGGAAGAAAGGGAGTGCCCTTTCGGCTGATCTGGAGAGAAAACGGTTCAGGGCTGCCAGGCGCCCCGTCAGTCGTTGTACTTCCTTGACGTTGCGGGGCGGCTCCATGTTAATGATAGCCTGTGTCTTCTCCGGGTTTATCTCGATGCCTCTCCGGCTGACCATGTAGCCGAGGAACTTGCCGCCCTGGACGCCGAAGGCGCACTTCTTGGGGTTGAGGCGGAGCCTGAACTCCTTCATGATTTCAAAGATTTCCCGGAGGTCGTCGGCGTGGGAGGAGGCCTGCCTGCTCTTGACGATCAAGTCGTCGACGTATGCCTCCATCGTCCGGCCAAGGACCGCTCTGAAGATCTTGGCCACCATCCTAGTATAGGTGGCGCCGGAGTTTTTGAGTTCGAAGTCCATGAAGAGGTAGCAAAAGATTCCCTCTGGGGTCATGAATGTCGTCTTCTCAGCGTCATCTTCATGCATGGAGATTTGGTGGTACCCTCTGAAAGCGTCAAGGAACGACATCAACTCGCACCTCGCCGTCTCGTCCACCAACTGATCAATGTTGGGGAGAGGGAACGGGTCCATGGGGCACGCCTTGTTCAGGTCAGTGTAGTCAACACACATCCTGAATGTCGGTGGTTTCTGGGCAAGGACGACGTTGGCCAGCCACGTCGGGTACTTCGCCTCTTTAATGTGTTTGATTGAGAGGAGCATGGCGACCTCTCCTTTGACGAAGTCCCGCCTGTCAGCGGATAAGTAGCGTCGCTTCTGCTTGACGGGCGTGGAGGCCGGATCGACGGTCAGCCGGTGAGTAATCACCTGGCGGCTGATGTCTGGCATGTCGTCCGGGCCCCACGCAAAGACGACGGCGTATGACCGCAGGACGAGGAGGATGGCGTCTCGTTCGTCCTGAGGGAGCTGCTTCCCGATTCTGAGGACCCGCTCCGGCCGGGAGGTATCCAGAGGAACTTCCTCGACCTCCTCGGCCGGTTCTGCATGCGGCCTCTCCTCGTCCTTGGCAACGGCTGTCGTGATGGTGTCTATCCTCTGTCCTTCCCTTTCGGCCGGCCTTGTTAGCTTGAGGAAGCATGCTCTGGCTATCCTCTGGTTTCCTCTGGCGTAGCCGATGCCGTCATTGGTGGGGAACTTTAGGCACAAGTGCTTCATGGAGATGATGGCCTCCAAGTCCTCCAGCGCCGACCGTCCCAAGATCAGGTTGTGGGCGCACTGGAGGTTGACCACCATGAACTCCATGTCAATCCTGGCGTGGTGGGGGCCGTCACCGACCTCCACGGGGAGGACTATCGTGCCCTCGGCGTCGACAGAGTCCCCGGTGAAGCCGGATAACGGTGTCTTGATCGGCTTCAGCAGAGCTCTGTCCAGCTTCAGCTGCCGGAAGGTATCCAGGTACATCACGTTGACGGAGCTCCCCGTATCGATGTAAGTGCGGTGGATGATGGAGTCACCGATCTCACACCGGATGACGAGGGCGTCCCTGTGTGATTCCGTCCCCGGAGGCAAATCCTTGTCGGTGAAGGTGATCGCCTCCGTTCGCTGCTTCTTCGGCTGGGGGGGAACGTGGGACACCTCCCCAATGTAGAGGGATTGGGCCCATTTCTTTCTCTGAGTGGCGGAGTCCCCCCCAGTGTTCCCGCCTACGATGAGGTGAATGTGATTCTTCTTTGGCGGGGGCTCTTCGAAGTCCTCGTCGTCGCTGAGCCTACCAATCTCCCGCTTATCCGCAGAGGCTTCGCCCCCATGTTTGCCGGTGTTTACCCATGTGTTTTTGCGTGGGCCACCTTTAACAAACTGGGAGAGTTCCCCCTGGCGAATAAGACGCTCGATGGCCTTCTTTAGCGTGATGCAATCGTCGGTGTTGTGTGACTAGTTCTTGTGGAACCGGCAGTATGTGCCGCCCTGCTGGATGGCAAGGACCTCCTCGACCGGCCGAGGAGCCTACTCGATGAGGCCGTGCTTCTCGGCATAGTCGAGGATGATGCCGACCGGGTGAGTGAGGGCAACCCCCGGCCGTTCCAACCTCGGCCGCCAGTGGCGATCTTTCTTACTCGGTCCACCAGAGCCGTGACGGCCCTGGGCACCCTGGCCGGCCGGGGACGGACCCGGGGCCGGCGAAGGATTTGTCTTCTTGGAGGGATGGCCCCCCTCTTTCTTGTGATTGTGGAGCTCGTCGGCGTCGGCGTACAAGCCTCCGCGCTGGAGCGCCTTGGCGTACGACCTCGGAGGGTCGGTGATGAGGCTCCTAGCGTACGAGGAGCTGCGGAGGGCTCCCTGATACAAGGCGAGGAGGGTGCGCTCATCGAGGAGGGTGCGCCTCAGACGAGCAATCTCCCGATGCTGCCTCTTGTGGCTCTCCATGAGCATGAAGGCACCCTGCACAAAAAAGGCAAACAAAGACTCAGACAAATGATTCCACCCGGACGACGAGAAAAACGACAAATAAAAAGGAAGGGAACTTACTTGGACGATGAGGTCCATCCCGCCTTCGTACACCTTGATAAGTGAGAGCTAGAGAGAGAAGTGCAATAATATGCTTCAATAGAATGATTTTTGTAACCCCTATAACTACTCCCAAAGGGAGTATTTATAGAGAAAATACGGGCTGGGCTCCCAAGCCTTGGGCTTGGGAGGCCCATTTACAACTGGACCGCTACTGGGCCGAATACAAAGCCACTAATGGGTTGTACAAATGAGTAAGTGTAAAATCCGGTTCTGTAAGGTCTTCGTGGCCGACAAGGGCGTGGCCGACGAGGGCACGGCCGACGAGGGCGCGGCCGAAAAGGGCACTCGGGCTCCTTGGACTCAGGACCATATTCTGAGTTGGCACCTTCTCGGCCGACGGGGGTCCCTTGGCCGACGAGGGCACCGTCAGTGTCTTGTGCTTTCTGTTCTTCCGAGTATGTGGGTCCGGGGGCTCAGACCCATATACTCCATCACAAATAAAGACACAAAATCAATGCATAAAAAGAGAAATTTATGGATCGAGTGCATTGGGCATGCAAAATAGATCACTGATTAAATTAATACTATTCCATGTCAAAATGATAAATTCCCCCGCTTCACTTTCTAATATGGAATGTGGAAAGAGAAATGAAAAAATACCCGACCTTTTGTTTGTTATTGTCACAGAAAAGAGATAAACCACCAACTTTGACCTTTTCCATCTCTTTGAATTCTTTATGTAACAGCATGTCCGCATATTGCCAGCATGGCTACGGAGGTAAAATTCAAACTCAGCTGGATGACATATCTTTGAGTCCACAACGGTACCTCGCAAAACGTTGTCATTTTCTAATCAGCCACGTGAGCACCATAAATGGAACGGAAATATTTATATTATGCTCATTTTCCATCCAATATACCAAATGGGACTAACCATATAGAAGAGGAATTTGAATTCTACTTTTAACATTTCCCATGGACTATACGAAAGGGGATTAACTTCTAATTTTTGCATATTTTATTAGAGATACTTAAATAATTACAGAAATAAAGCAAAAGATAAGCTCTTCCATACTTGAAAAAGTAAATGAGCAAATCCTGCTCGACACTTGCGCGCAGCCTGCTCGGCACTCTTGCACGAAAATCAAGGTGAAGAGGCTTTAATATGGTGAAATAGCGACTCCTTTTTTACATTGCAATGTTGAAAATGCAATTATATACTACCAGTTTTTGTCCGTTCTCGTCATGTCATATAGTTACTTAGACCTTTCATATCTCTTTGAATTATATATAGGGGCTTGTCCAAATAATACAAATGAGCTTGCAATATTGCATTTAGAATCTGTTCTAACTTTACTTGACACAAAGCAAAATACAGAATAAGTTTTTTAGAAGAAAAAAATAGTATAGTAAAGAAGGGAAAGAGATGCACCCATGTGAAACTAAGCAGAAACAGCCTAGATGAAATACTTTGACTCGGAGAGTTTATACTGAAATGAAAGAGATGGAGACGGTTAGGCTAAAAATGATTATAAATGCTTCGTGAATTATACTAGTGGTCTAGTGTGTCTATTTTTATATAGTTGGGTAGGGCTGATAAGGGTTTAGAATTCTAAGCCCTTCGTCGACCTAATACGTGTTGCAAAGGTAGAAATCAAACTCTGTAGGGTCGAAAAAGTATTTCAACCCACAACAGTATCTGGCAAAATGTTGCCGCTCTCTTATTAGTCGGATGGCAATGCTTGTGATTGCAAGGGAACAGGCGGGTTTGGTGCCTCTTCTGAACATCAACAAAGCTATCAAGAAGCAGGTACCCATACTCTCACATTATTTGATCATTGGTGGTGGAAGAACACAAACATATGTAGCAGTAAGTTCAATGGTCGGTTTCTTTCAAATTCACTTTGTAAATTATCCTTGTTAAGTTTATCGGTTTCAACAACCTTAGTGATACTTTGCTCCCTTTTGCGCTCATAAAGACACAGATCAGTTGCTTTGAACTAGAAAATTTGATTGTGTTCGAACTTACTAGATGCACTGTTGTCATTGGTAGGAGGAAATTTTTTTCTGGATCAACAATTTTTTTGTTCATCATATTCCACTCTATATGATTATTTATATGATTTTGGTGCATAGCTGCCCATGACACATTAGCAAGTTCAATGAAATGAAATGTACTGGCAAAAATAAGTCATCACAGCATGTTAATTTGATACACTAAGAGCCCGTTTGGTGACTCCTTTTTTCGGCTTATCAGGCTTATCAGCCAGTTTTTTCACAAAACACTTAACTTTTGATTTCGCGCGTTGAATTTTGTAATAAGCTGAAAAAGTAAGGTTAGAGTTACGTTTATGGCTGTATTGGCTGAAGTTACTGTAGAGGATCATTTTTGCTATTTTTTCATATAATTTTTTGTTTAATTTATTAATAACAAATATTTTAAACATAATTTTTTCATAAATCAGCAAAATAAGCCAATACAACCACTTCAGGTAGAACATCATAAATTTCAGCAGAATCAGCCAATTCAGCCAATTTTAATGTTAACAAACGGGCTCTAATAGTAATAACTTTTTACAAAGTTCAAAACCCCCAAATTTGAAACCGATGACCTTCCAAAACCAGGCATATTTTTACATTATGACAGGGTTACATTACAGAACCTGTTAAAACCAGGAACAAAAAAACAAAAATAATTATGAGTAGAAAAAAATGGCCAACCTCAAATTTCCTTAAAATATTTTTCAAGTCCAAATAGAAGACCACATTCTCTCACCAATAAAGCTCACAAATCTCTTCACGGCCCCACCTTCCTCCTCTCCACCATTACAAATATTACTAATGTGAGTTGAGCGCAACTCGGCCGAGTCAGACTCGTCCGACTCGTCCCTTTTAGAACTCAACTCGGAACTGTTCATCAACTCACCGGGGCAAACAGAGGAGGAGGAAGAAGACCCAGGCACTCTGTTCTTCCTATTGCTGCTCTTCCTTTTCTCTCTCTTGTTCTTCTCCGCTCTCTTCCTCTGCGACACCAATCCGTCTTCGTAGGCGTCGATGATTTCGTTAATCAGCTGGCGGTTCGGCGAAGAATCCCACCTCACCCAGTAGCTTATATAGCAGCTGAAGCAGCAGCAGTCGAAGCAGGGCGAGTGGGCGTCGGGGCCGCCCTTCCCTCCACCGCAGACGGCGGCGGAGCTGGAGGATTTCCTGTCAGCGGTGGAACTGGAGCAAGAGATGAGATAGGCCAGGACTTCTTTGTCTTCTTGGCCGAGGGCGACGGTCAGAGCTAAGATCGCCGAAGGTAAGAAAGCCAGCTGGTTTGAGACAAGTGGAGGCGTGGGATGAATTGTGCTCTTTCTGTAAAGCTTCTTCATGATCGTCGACGGCGGCGGCGGCGGCGGCGGAGGGTTGAGGTTTTCTTGAGGGTTTCGGCAGCCAAATTTTGTTGTTTAAGAGTAAAGAAAAGAGGGAAAGCTAGCTTTGTCAGAGTTGGTGATATACTTGTGGGGTTTGTTCAAAAGCAAAGCAGGGAGTTTTTTTCCTGTGGTACGCCGGTGTACGTAGCACACCCGTAGGTCGTCATCTGCATCCAACCGGCACTGACCTATGACGAGTCTATCTGGTCCCACAATACTTTACAGGCAGAGAATCGATATCTTTTTTAGAGAAGAATCACATTCATTTTCTACCATTCCAAATCAGTACACACTATTGTACACATCTTATACACACCATATTTGTGAAGCTTTTTTTTGTCTGTGAATTCAGTTCACAGACAATATTTTGTTTGTGCAAAACATTGTCTATGAATCGATGTTCACAGACAAAAAGAAAAGCTTTCACAGAATAGGTGTGTACAAAAGTGTGTATAAGAGTGTGTACAAACATCATTTTTGTTCAAATTATGCCTTTTCTTTTCCATTTGATCCAAAAAGGTGGAATCTCCCACCTCAAGAGCCCCCACTCCGACCCGATAGGATGATGGGGAGGTTAGTCACGGTGACTCGGTCAGTAGAATGGTAGTAGGCTCATACACCCGTGCGCACCAGAGGCTCAGCCTTATTTCAGGTTTTGTGACCTCCACTCGGTCGTTGCGGGGATTCGAACCTTGGTCAATTGATCCAAATCTCCCACCACTCGACCAACTGAGCTACCCGTGCGGGTTATGCCGTTTCTTTTCCATTTCTCCGATAATGTTTCCATTATTTAAGTAATGTGGCTGAACACACCCAAAAGCGGTCAAGTCTAGGGTTTCCTAGGGATTTTTCTGGCGGCGTGGCTAGTCCGGATAAGGAAGAGTGCGGAAGACAACTTGTGGCAGTGACTTCGGTGGGGCGGCCTATCTGACCAAGAAGACGTCGGGGTGCTTGAACGCAGTGCAGCAAAAATTCGCTTCGCAGCGAAAGGACGAGTTTTTGGTTTTTTGCGGCGAGTTTTTACGAAGGGGCGGTTGCTAGGCTTCTGGTTTTTCTGCGGCAAATTCTTGCAATGAAAACAGGTTGGTGTGCAACAGAGGAGCTATTTGATGAAAGATTTTGTTGATCCATATAAACTGAGGGCAATTGGCAAGGACAAGGAGTTGATTTTCGACGATGAAGGAGAAGAGGAGCCGTCGGTGAGCGCAAGAAGGATAGGGTTTCTGACGAATTTCTCAGGTTTTGAATTTCCTTGCTACAATATTACAGCAGTTCACCCTCCTCCGGAACCACTTCCGTACAATATCGGACCAGTGGAGATGCTTGTGAGGATGGAGAGGAATTTTTATTTTTCTGCTTGTTATTTTGTTTTTGCTTTTTGTTTTGCCAAGACTCGAGAACATAGGTCAGGTGATGGGGAACTTAGTTTACTAGTCGTTGGCTCAAGTAAGCCCAATTCAGGATCAACGAATCTGGTTGCTTCATTCGAGATGGCAGATTCTAAGTCTGGTTCAAGGGCGGACGGTAGACAATGAGTTCTTTGTCAATTTGTACCCTGCTCTTGTTATTTCTTATTAATATAAATCACCTGCTTCCAAAAAAAGTGGTGTGACTGAACTGATTTAAATTATCTTAGCCATTTTAAATATATTTTTCTTTAATTTATTAATAAAATATAATTTACAAGCAATTTTTTTCATAATTGGCCTATTCAGAGCCCGTTTGGTAACACTCAAATCAACTGAATCGACTGATTATGCTAAAATTTATGAAGGTTTGACATAAGTGGCTGTATTGGCTTATTTACAAAAAAAATATATTTAAAATATCATTTTATTAATAAATTAAAGAAAAAAGAATACAAAAAATAGCTAAAATAATCCTCTACAGTAACTTCAGCCGATACAACTAGAAAAGTAATCTCAACCTTACTTTCTCTTATTATTACACAATTCAAATCACAAAATCAAAAATTACGTGTTTGAAAAAGTTGGCTGATAAGCGGAAAACCAGGGTGACCAAACGGGCTCTCAATTGAAATATCAACCATTTTAACAGATTTTGTAATCAATGAACTTACCAAAAAAGCATTTTTCAAGAGTCAACTTTCTTTCACATATTTTGTTGTGAACATGTGTATACCTCAGTGTTGTCGTATTTTTCCTCTCCTCTATTTACATTTGAATTAGTCAACTTCATACATAGTTCTAGACAAGCATATCAAGTGTAAAAAGGAGAAGCTTTTAGAAGTCCTATTTCAAAAGCATTTTGTAAAGCGGAAGAAAAGTTTAGACGGAAAAAATATATTCCCATTCTCAAAAGCATATTTTCTCATTTCCATGAAACTGCATATTCATCTTCTATAAAAAAATAAAGAAAAAAGAAACACAGTTGATTTTATAGAGTACTTCCTGAATCAAGACAGAAGTTGTTAGAAGCAATGAAGAAAGAGGAATGGAACAGGAAAGAGATTTACAACTATAAAAAATGTTTATGATGAATCAGATCAAATGGGACCTTTAGAGTCCGTTTGGATAATCATATACTTTGTTTTTTAAATACATTTAAGTTAATTGATCAAGATATTCGACTTCCAAAATCGTTCATCCAAACTAACCCTTATGAAGAACTATGGAGACGAGCCTTGATCCAGGATTCCAAATATCGCAACTCCTCCTGGTTTATAGAATGGACAAGGCCGGGATAAGCCTGAAAGTTTCAAGAATAAGAGTTTGTGCATTACAAAACATGGCTGGTGAATAAAACTGCGTTTGGTAGGGGTGGTTGGGTTGGATGGAGAAGCAAGTACCTTAAACTCAAAGGGAATACCCACTCTTTCCAAGAAAGGTGGTCCAGCTTGCCCAGCTTCAAACAGCACTGTCTTATCTGCCATGCCATGAGACCACAAAATAGGCGTCTGCAAAACATTTTGAGCAATATAAGTAACCTCAATTTAATTTTATCTGATTCTTGGAAAGGTAAAAATATGCAAGAAATAAATAGACAGTTCTTTTTAAACCAATGTTTAAGAAATCGCTAGGGTGGAATACATAGGCTGTTTCTATTTTCTATTATGTGTGTGTGTGTCAATCGCTATTCGCTAACCCAGCGTCTAGCAGTTAAGCAGAGCCCAGGCAGCAGGTCGAAAATATATTATTTTTTATAAATAGTTTTGTTTAGATACAATAATAATGTAGTAGAACATACATACTACCGTAGTAATGATAGAATCATGCAACAACTGATAATGAATCATTGAATCATGTAGCTCAATTGTGTATAGCATAAAAGGTTTGCAATCAGGGCATCCATACATCACATTTGATACGCTGTGGTTAAAAACTGCGCTAAAAGCTTAATGTCCCTTCTTTTTTATTTTGTGCAAAATTGCAAATTATATCGTACATCCAGTGAAAAGATGTGCATTTCTTATTGTATACCCATATGCTCATGCAAATTTTACCCAGATCAATTTTCTTCTCAAATTTATTCATTTGTATATGCCAGTTTCTCATTTTTCTTTTAAGGAATAGTTTTGCTTATGTTGGATGTACAATAACCATGATATATCCAGATTTATGATGGGTTGATTAAGGGATCGAAGCATAAAGTCAATGCAAACATGTCAAATTAATTACCCTTTTTGCCTCGGGTGTTAGATTCTCAAGTATAGAATCATTAAAAGGAACCCATCCACTAAACACAGCACCACCTCCTAGAGTTTTTGGGTATAGCAGAACACTTGCTAAGGTCAAGGCACCTACAAATTAAGTCAATGGTAGACCACTACACTGTGAGTAGAGAATCTATGCATAATCTTTATCTATTTAGGGTCTGTTGGAACTTGGAATCAAGAATATGCCAGGGAAAGAAAACAGGGAAAGAACAGAAGAGAGATATGAGGGAAAGTAGGAAACATTTGAATATCTGCTAAAATTGTTAATTAAGTGTTTTTAACAAGTTCATGTGTCTAATAACGTGTTTGTTGGGTAGAAGAGCTTAATTGAGGTATTAGATATATAAAGATACTTAAATATACTAGAACTTTAAAAAAAATGATTTACCTTCGTTTTTTCAAAATCCAAACCAAACAGAAAATATATATTCTCTTTAGCACTTTTTTTCTTTTCCCCACCATTTTCTCGTTCAAAACATTATCTTGTTCTTTCTTATCAAGGGGAGTAAAGAGGAGGGTGGGTTGGGGGTTACATCAAAGGGAGAGAGAGAGAGGGGGAGGGAGGGAGAGAGGGAGGGAGAGAGACAGAGAGGAATACCCCCTTGGCTAAATCCACAAATAAATATGTCCTTAGGATTTGTGCCATCAGTGACCTCTTTGTCTATCATAGCATGAACATTTTGAACTGCTTTTAGCACACCACTTTCATCATTTGGGGAGCTCTGATTGAATGGTTAATAATCAAAGCATTTCAACATCAACTGAATCAGCTAAAGATTATCAGAGGCCTAAACTTAGCACTTAAGGAATATAAAAGCACAAAGCAAACCCATTGTCAGTCAATTTAGGATGATAAGCAAGACATACACATTAGTGATTGTCCAATAGAGTATAGCATTAAAGTTTGTCAACCACTCACAAGTATTAAGTTATACACATATTTCAATAAAAGAGGACAATGAGTGAATGACATCAATATCACCCAAGTAAAGACCATGTTGTTTATCACTAAATTATTTTGGCTACGAATATATAATACGGAGTAGAAAATAGAAATAATTATAGTTATGTTGTAAACCATCACTCATTTATTTTATTTTTTTAACCTTTTTGTTATTTTATACTCCCTCTGTACGTATGAAAGTTCTCAGTTCAATTTACCATGGTTGACCAATTATAAAGACAGCTCTTCCCAGATGATCTATAAATTAATACTACGTATTAATAACTAAAATTTACATACTTGGAAAATATACTAAAAGTTCTGTTAAAAAACTGAATTCAAATACGGAGTATGATAGAAACAATTAAATAAAATCATAGGTAAAAAAGTGTTAAGTGGAAAGTATGAAGAGTGTTTCAGAACCTTAAATTGGGAATGAGTGAGCATGTATATGTTAATAATATATAAAACTAAAAAACAAAAGTTTGAACCTTTTGCTTCAGTTGCATGATTTAACAACTTATCTTAAGCTATGAAACAAATTTTTGAGACTTTCTCTTCAGCTATACTCCGTATAATTTAACAACTTATCTCAAGATTTTAACAACAATTTCACCACGGATAGATAAGTATGAAAAAAAAAACTCATAACACGAAGCAAGACACAACTAAAGTCAAATGGAGAAGTCGATTTTAAGATGAAATAGCATCTTACTGCTGACACTGGTATTTCGTGTAGGTCAAACCATGACGGCATCACAGCACCATCTAAATAAAAGAGCATTTACATCATAGCCACATCAGTAAACTAGAAAGCTAATAAACAGCCACAGTATCAATAAAACTCATATGAAGTACGAAGTATGATGTTTTCAATGGGAGTGTAATGTATCGGTAATCACTATATTTGTTAATCATTCAGTTTGCAAAAATCATGTATTAATCCATGTTTGGTTCAAACATATATTTGTCTTTGTAGCAAATCTAAGCTAGTAATCCAGCCCCTTACTACTTGTACACCACTTCAAAAGACCATTATATATTGAGTACAAAACTTATCCAGCTAATATATATACTGACATTAGTAATATGTATAAAAATATGTATACTAATAATGTATGTATTAGAATATACAAAAATGCTAGTATATATACATTCCTTTTAGAGTACGGAACTGCCAATTGAACTCGACACGGGTATATTCCTCTCCACCCAAAGCCAAACACTAAACTCTAAACATGGGTTATCTACTCGGTGAGTACTCGGCGAATACTCTCAACTCGGGTGGTGACCTTGCCGATAAGCTACTTAACTCGGTCCGTATAATATTTCCGAGTAACTCGGCAAGTACTCGGTGAGTTTCTGAACTCGGGGAAGTTATCAACTCGCCGAGTTACTTGGCTAGGCATGAAATTTTGTTTTTTGTTAAATCTGAATAATTTTAATTAAAGAGGGATATTATGGAATTTATAAACAATGAATGGGTATTTTAAAAATTGGAAATAAACCTTAAAAGTCTATGTTTAAAAGTATTTCATACATCCGCTCATTCCAGCCGTGGTTCCTCCTCATCTCTAGGTAAGTTATTCTACTCCATGGCTTTATCTTCTTTCTCATTTCTTCTTCATTAGGATTTCTTTTCATATCTAAAAATTTTAAGATTAATATATATTACTATAATTTTGAATATTTATATTTTTAAATTAATTAATATAGGACCGAGTAGTCACCAAGTAATCCCGAGTACGAGGTCCTACTTGCTACTCGGCCCTTGATTGAGTTGCTACCGAGTAGCGATTTAACTACTTAGCTCTAAACTTTGATATGGTATCAGAAATCTGATTGTGATTAACTTCTTTATTTGTTTTGAACACATGGTTTAAGGTAGCCCGTTAGGTACGATTATGCCCATTTATCAACCTTCAAATTGTTCAATTCGGTTACTTTGTGAGGCGTATTCGAATATTTTCTGGTCATATATAAAACCAGATATGTCCTATATGCTTAGGTGGATCTGCAATTACACACCCGCTGACATTCCCTAACCCTGCCTTCTTAACCCTCAAAAGACGTTAGGTTAAGATGTGGTGTAATTACTTTGGATTCAAAATGTGGGGATTAAGAAGTTAATTGTTTCGTTTGATTATTTAATGGAAAATTGTAAATTATGGGAGATTTTTATAAACATTTCGCACATTGTTTGCAATTGCGCAATGCCATAGCGCCATATGGCGCGCCTCAGCTATTTCTATGGTCATTGCGTAAAATTGCATTGCATATTGCGTATAGGCTTGAAGCGTACGTTTTTAACGTTAAGGCGTACGCAATAAAACGTAAGCCATGAGGCGTACGTATGGCGTACGATTAACTGTGTGAAGTTTAATTTTTTTTTGGCCCGCTGGGCCCACTTTTTAGTAAAACAGATACGATTATATGGTTCAGTATATACGCAATAACCTGCTGCTTCTTCCCAGCGTACATTTAACCTTCTCTTTCCAGCACCTTCTTCCTGCTTGGGCGATTATTCAGCCTTCATATGTCAGCCAATCTTCTTGTACAGTTGTACGCTACTGCGTAGTTTTCTATTGTCGGCCAATCTGCTTGATGCTTAGTTTTTGTTTTTATTGAATTAAATACAAAATACAGAGTATTAATGTTAATTTTATGCCTATTAATATTTTATTATTATCCTTTGATTAAGTTGCGACATATCTACTCTATTTGAATGCTTAATTTTTGTTTCTATTCAATTAAATACTAAATATTAAAGTTAATTTTCTGCCTATTAATATTTTATTATTATCCTTCCATTAAGTTTCAACTTATCAATATGTTTTTTCAGTTATAATATTGAACGATAACTTCAACTTCGAACCTTGATTTCGCATTGTATCATTAAAACATTTTGGGGGACAATGGTAAAACACTTTAAAAGCTTTTTAAAAAGTAGTGCAATTGATTGCTGTGCACGCAGTTTAAAAATAAATAATGTATATAAAAAGCTTTGCACAAATAATGTACACGCAGTATAAAAGCTTTTATAAATAATGTATATAAAAATAATGTATATAAAAAGCTTTCAAGAACACCTAACAAAACAATGTATTTTTATTTCAGAACTGGTTGTTCCCCTAAACTTTGCATTCAATTTGTGTGTAACGTTCTAATGTGCAACCTACTAAAGTCTAAAGCAGCCATTATTGTAGGCTGTAGTCACCAAACAGAAGAGAAAATAGAGTGGAAAGAATGACAGCAATGGATTATTGTGGGGATCTATAAATCATTAGCAAATACGTTGAATAAAATTAACAGCTCCAAAGAAACTTGTATGTGTAATTATGTAAGGATTGTAGAGATTTTCTTCTCAAAATACTCTGTAATGCCAGAAATTCGATGCTCAGGCATTTCCCCAAGACCCAACCTTTGAACTTCATCCCAATACACATTTTGATTCAATGAGATGGTTTTTACCAAATCAAGTTCATTTCCATAACCCCATTTGCGACCATTCTAAAAAAAACTACCAAATATCACCCTCCCTGACCTAGCCAAGTACTAGAAAAATTAAAGAAATTTGTATCAGATAAACTTCAAAAAAGGAAATGGATGTAAGAATTAGTTGTGGACTTACAGTTACATGTGACAGGGTTCTTAGGTGCAGAAGGAAAAGACCACTTTGTGTTCTTGAACTCGGGAGAAGTGAAGAGGTTCTTAATGGGTTCATTGGCGGGTCCCGAATCGCCCAACCCGTGGAGCCACAGGACGAAGCTTCGGGCCATCGGATCGGGTTTGCCGGAAGACGGGTTTAACGGGCGGGGGAGCAAGATAAAGAGAATGGTGAAACTGATGGTGACTATGAACGCAACTGCTGGCTTTAGTAAGCGATCTAAATGAGACTTCATTTTTATACTTTCATGGCGGTGCCGTAGCATACTTACCATTAAATTTAGGAATAGGAATTAGCCCCAGGAGTATCGTTCCCAAAACACGCCTAAACGGTAATATGGGTCAAAACTATTTCTTTTTGTTTCACCACTAGAGTAAATGAGTAATGTAACTAGTTTGTAAAAAATGTAACTCACCAGAAAAATAACTACAGGTTTCGATATATAAGTATAAGAATAAAAAACATTTATTTCAATATGAACAATGAAAAACAATTCTAATTGTAACTAGTGAATATGTATTGTTTTTAATATCAAGGTCATATATATTAAAAAATCAAATTTTTTCAATATCAAGAGTTTATTTTGTGATGTAACTCGTGTAATAATGACAAATATAACTGAAATTAATGAAAAGTTTAACTTACTTGTTTGTAAAATGTAACTTGTTGAAACAAATTCAAATGTAATTCACATAAAAAAATGTAACCCGGTCATATACAGACGTAACGCGCACATAGGGTTGTAAACGAATCGAATAATTTTGATCCGATTCGCGATTCGAATTCGAAATTGATGATTCGAATTCGAAATATTCGAATACGAATTCGAATACGAATCAATTTTATTATTCGAATAAAATTCGAATACGAATACGAATATACATATATTCGATTCGTAAGTTATTCGAATATATTCGATTTGTATACTTACGAATTATAAATATATATTCAATTATATTTATAATTTTGAAATAATTCATATAATAGACATTTGTGAAAATCGAAAAATGCCTAAAATGAGTCATAATTTGAATAGGTGAATTTTTTTTGAAACTTCAAATATTTGAATTGGAATTCGAATATTCGAATTCGAATATTCGAATTCGAATTCGAATATTCGAATACGAATATACTCAAATACAATAAACGAATCGAATACGAATCGATTGTAAGATTCGAATAATATTCGAATACGAATACGAATATTCGTCAATTTATACGAATACGAATAATATTACTCACTATTCGATTCGATTCGCTCGTATTTTAATACTACGTATTCATTAAACTTTAAAATTGCAATTTCTTTTCCTTGTTTTTTTATGACTTTTGTTAGGATAGAACAAAAACAATTAGAGGCCGTTTAATAGCACGAAAATCGGCTGTTTTGGCTGATTCTGCTGAAATTTATGAAGTTCTGGCTGAAGTGGCTGCTTTGGCTGTTTCTGCCGATTTAAGTAAAAATTATTTTTAAAATATACTCCGTATTTTATTAATAAAATAAAGAAAAAATTATATGGAAAAATAGCTAAAATGGTCATCTACAATAAGTTCAGCCAATACAGCCAGAAAAGTAACTCTAACATTACTTTTTCTGCTTATTACACAATTCAGCGCGCGAAAGTAAAAGTTACATGTATGGTGAAAAAGTTGGCTGATAAGACTGATAAAGCGAAAAAAATGTTACCAAACGGGCTCTTAAAATCTCACTAATAATGACTTAGATCACTCGTACAAGCTTCTGACATGAATCAACACGATCACCATCATCAATCGTCCCTTGTGTGGCGTACCCTAGTTCACCAGCATGCACTCTTGTGAGACAGGGCATACTATAAGGCTTTACATATGTTATAGCGTGATGGAGTATATGGCCCGGAACCCCCGGCCCACAGACTCCTACTACTCTAATAAAGGCCCAATAGGCCCAGGAAACACAACAGGCCCAAATCATGGCGCCCAAGATACCAAGCAGCCCACAAATACGCTCTAACTCTCACAGGAGGGCCAAGACAGCAAAACAAAGTTACTGGGAAAAACGGTGAAAATCAGTAGCCCTCGGCCGGCCAGCCCTCGAGGACCTCGAAGCCGTCATCTCCATGAGGCACCTCTGCCTCAAGTTCCCAGGCGAGGGGGGAATCGGTTACTCAAGGGGGAACCAAAAACTTGTCCGCGCTTGCTACCTTCAAGTTACAAAGAAGGTTAGCAAGACGGAGTTCCGCGTTGACACCATCACCGGAACTGTGGAAGCGGAAGAAAGGAGGCCGAGGGCTGAACCAGCCGAGGAGGTAGAAGACTTCGCGCTCGATCCGGCCAAGCCGGAGAGAGTCGTGAAGATTGGAGCCAAGCTCCCCGAAGATTTGAAGACCGGCATCATCAGCGCCCTCCGCGCCTACTCCATTGTTTTTGCATGGGGGCCGGAGGACATGCCGGGGATCAGCCGAAGGGTCATCACCCACCGCCTCTCGGTGGACCCTTCGGCCAAACCAGTACAGCAGCAGAGGAGACCCCTCTCGGCCGAGAGGAGGGAATTTGTGAAGAAGGAGGTCGCCATGCTCCTCTCTATCAAGCACATCAAGGAGGTAAAGTACCCCTCATGGCTGGCAAACGTAGTCCTCGCACAGAAACCGCCCTCATTCCGCATGTGCGTGGACTACACGGATCTCAACAAGGCGTGTCCCATGGACCTCTTTCCTTTGCCAAATATTGATCAACTTGTGGATGAAACCGCGGGGTGCGAAATCATGTCATTCCTCAACGCATTCCGCGGATATCACCAAATATACATGCATGAGGAGGACGCTGAAAAAACAGCCTTCATGACTCCCGAGGGCATCTTCTGCTACCTTGTCATGGCCTTCGGCCTAAAGAACTCAGGCGCCACCTACACTCGGATGGTGGCCAGGGTATTTCAAGCTGTCCTAGGGCGCACCATGGAGACATATGTTGACGATATGATCGTCAAAAGCAAGCAGTCAGCAATCCATGCTGACGACCTGAGGGAGATCTTCGCCATCATGCAGAAGTTTAGCCTTCGACTGAACCCGAAGAAGTGTACCTTCGGCGTCCAGGGGGGGAAATTCCTGGGCTACATGGTTAGCCGAAGGGGTATTGAGGCCAACCCCGAGAAAATCCAGGCCATCATCAACATGGAGCCCCCACGCAACGTGAAGGAGGTACAACGGTTGACGGGCCGCCTGGCAGCCCTCAACCGCTTCTTATCAAAATCGGCGGAGAAGTCCTTACCCTTCTTCCAGATCATGAGGAAAACCGCCGGTTTCCAGTGGACTTCAGAATGTCAGGGGGCATTCGAGGAGCTAAAACGGTACTTATCCTCACCCCGTGTGCTCTCTAAACCCAAGGTAGGGGAGATCTTGTACCTCTACTTGGGTGTTAGCCCGGCTGCCATCAGCTCAGTACTCATCCGGGAAGAGGATGGCATCCAACATGCCATCTTCTATGTTAGCAAGACCCTCAGGGAAGCGGAGCTCCGATACTCCCCCGTGGAAAAAACGGTGTTGGCTATCGTGTGGACCGTCAAGAAGTTGGGCCATTACTTCCAGGCTCACCCGATCCAGGTCCTAACTCACCAACCCCTCGGCGCCTTAATGAGGAGCCCCACTAGCTCCTCCCGAATGGTAAAATGGGCTGTCTTCTTGAGCCAATACAACATCGACATCCGTCCTAGGCCCGCCATCAAGGGCCAAGCCCTAGCAGACTTCGTGACGGAGTGCACGGCGAGGGCAGCCACGGACGAGGAGCCCTCGCCCCTTCAGATGACTGGTGGACCCTCTACACCGACGGCTCCTCCGCCATCAAGGCATGCGGAGGAGGGGTGGTTCTCATCTCACCCGAGGGCTTCCGGGCCTATTATGCAGTCCGTTTCTCCTTCAAAGTCTCCAACAATGAAGCCGAATACGAAGCCCTCCTCTGTGGCCTTCGGCTGGCAGCTAACATGAAGGCCTGACAAATCCACGTCAAGTGCGATTCCAAGTTGTTCGTCGGCCAAATCTCCGGGAGTACGAAGCCAAGGAAGGGAGAATGAAGCAATACAAGGAGGCGGCCAAGGAGTTGCTTAAGGTATTTGAGGCACACTCTCTTACTCAAATACCGAGGGTTCAAAACTCCGAGGCCGACATTTTATCAAAGCTCTCGGCAGAATCCCCTGAGCATATCTCCAAGATTGCCAAAGTAGAAGAACTCAGCCTCTCTAGCATACATGTTAGCCCCGTCATGGATATACAACAAAGACAAGAGGACTGGATCTCGGATATTGTTGCCTTCATCACCACAGGGCAACTGCCCGAGGATGAGGCCCGCGCCAAGCTGGCAAAGTTGAGGGCTCCCAGCTACACTATCGAGGACGGGAGGCTTTACAAAAGGTCCTACAACGGGACGTTGCTTCGGTGCCTTCATCAAGATGAAGCCGAAGTAGCAATGGAGGAAGTACACAGTGGCACTTGCTCATCTCACCAGGGACCCTTCTCCATGTCCCGAAGGCTAATAATCCAGGGCTACTTCTGGCCTACAATGGCCCGGGATTGTGCGGACCTTGCTCGGAGGTGTCCGGCATGCCAGCACTTCCAAAAAGCCCCCGACAGGCCAGCGGTCAACTATGCCCCCATCAGCACATCCATACCTTTTGCACGATGGGGCATAGACCTTGTGGGCCCTCTGCCAAGGGGTACCTCCAACAACAGGTACATCATTGTCGCCATCGATTACTTCACCAAATGGGTGGAAGCGGAGCCCCTCGCCAGCATCACTGAGGCCAGGTGCCGTCATTTTGTTCTCAAAAACATCCTCACCAGGTTTGGCGTCCCTCAGCAAATCATCTCCGACAATGGGACTCAGTTTGAGGCAGCCCCCTTCTGTGCCCTCCTAGAGGCATGGGGCATCAAACACACCTTCTCATCCGGGTTGCCTACCCTCAGGGCAACGGGCAGGTGGAGAACGCCAACATGACCTTACTCGAGGGCCTAAAAAAGAAGCTGGAGGCCGAAGGGGGTGGTTGGGTGGAAGAGCTCCACAACATCTTATGGGCCAACCGTACCACCCCTCGGCGGGCAACTGGCGAGACACCCTTCTCCCTTTGCTACGGATTTGAAGCCAAAGCCCCCACTGAGGTAACTCTCCCCACCCGAAGGGTCACACAGTATGATCCAGAGGCCAACGACGCCGATATGGCCCTCGACCTCCACCTGATTTCAGAACGCCGAGAGCAGGCCTTCATACGCGCGGAAAACTACCGAAGGCAAGTAAAAAGTTAAATTGACGCCAAGGTTCGCTCCCGGGAATTCCAAGTGGGGGACTATGTTCTCCGGAGATAGTGACAGGCACGAGAAATGCCCAGGATTCGACTTCCAAACCCATCGGCACCTGGTGCCAAGGTGATGATGCGCCAAGGCAGACCCCAAAAAAGAAACCCATCGGCACCTGGTGCCGGGGGGGCACGCCAATAGCAGCTTTCAACAAATGAGAAGAAACACCAAGTGTTTCCACCGAGGGTAGACGACACAATCACTTCCTCCAACAAGCAGGAAGAAACACCAAGTCTTCCCACAGAATACCCCTCGGTACCAGGTACCGAGGGTAGACACCACAGTCCCCTACGACAAGTGAAGAAAAAACACCAACTACTTTTACAGAAGACCCCTCGGTACCAAGTGCCGGGGGCCGTACATCGGAACAAACACCAAGTGTTGTTTCTCAAGCCGTACCCCTCGAGGACGCCTATACCGAAGGCGCACCTCTCGGTGCCGGCAGCACGTAGTGCACCCGGCCATTTGCAACCAGTGTGCAAATGAAAACCCTTCCCTGAAACGCTTTCCGCGTCATCACCCCAAGGGTATGACAGGTATGAGAAATGCCCAGGATTCGACTTTCAAAAACGGAACGCTTGCCGCATCATCACCCCAAGGGTATGACAGGCACGAGAAATGCCCAGGATTCGACTTCCAAACCAAAACGCTCCCCGCGCCACCACCCAGAGGGTGTGGCAGGCCACGGACTATGTCTAGCGCCGAGGGGACGACTTTCAAAACTGAGGCGCTTTCCGCGCCATCCCCCAAGGGGAGGCAGGCTACAGACCACCATATCTTGCGCCCAGGAAACGACCCTCGATCCCCTCGGAACTCGGAAGGTTAACCCGAGGGGGGGCTAATGGTGTATTCTGTTACCTCCCGATAGGCCAAGCCTTACCAAAAAACCAAGTTTCTTGAAGCCTTCCCTTCACTACTCAAAAAAAAAATGGGGTGGTGAAGGGGAGTAGACTCGGCGAGAAATCAATGAGTACATCACTCCAACAATTCACAAAAACATACCGAGGGCTCCCCACGGGAACACCTTCGGTACCTGGAAGTTCACAAATACAAAGGATACCATTCACAACAGACATCATCAACGAATGGTTAGGTCCACTCAAGGATTGCCTCCGGCTATACCTAAAACCGAAGGTTCAAACGACTCAAAACGTCCCCGAAGGGCACTATATGACAAACAACCGAAGGCTTTTGTTACCATAGCCCAACATGGCAAAGCAAAGGGAACTATCCTAAACCCACAACGCCTACAACCGAAGCCCCCCCGAAGGACAGCAGCAGGAAACACTTAAAGAAAAATCTAAGTCCTAAATTCTTTGCCCCTTGTGGAGCCGTCAGTCAGCCGAGGGCATACCACAAACAAGGTCCTCACAGTCACCCGAGGGCTCCTACTTCACACATACTACACTTAGGAAAATTTCCTAAGTCCTACATATTTTGACCCTCTGTCAAATCTCCATGCTGCCCGAGGGGCCATACGGTTGAAGACTTGGTAAAGCTATACTCAGAAAAATTTTCTAAGTCCTACATACTTTGACCCTCGGTCAAATCTAGGGCTGGGGAAAAATACCGAAACGGCCGAAATACCGCTCTTACCGTACCGAAAAATACCAATTTTACCGAAATATTTCCTTACCGTAAATTTTGATAAGGTATGTTACCGTACCGAATTATTTCGGTACGGTATCGGTATGTATCGTATAAATTTTCGGTATACCGAAATACCGTAATACCACATATATATTTTTCTTTTTATTTACATATACTTATTAACTATGGCTCTTGAGTAAAAAACAGTCCACTGCCCCAATATACGTATTAGCCTAGCCCAGTTCGGCCCAAAATAAACTTCTCCAAAATCCTAACTCCTAATCCAAACTCCAAAGTCCAAAGTCCAAACTAGTTGTGTAGCCTGTCAGCCTGTGTTGCCTTGTGGGAACTGTGGACTGTGGAGTTACGATTTACGAAGGTCGAAGAACGGGACTGGAACTCTGGAAGAGCCGAACGAAGAAGAGATAGGGTTTCACAGTTCCAAAGAGGTCTTCATCTCCACTCTCCAATACCTAATCGCTCTTGATGAAGGTACTCTTCACCCCATCCAACTATTACTTCATATCTTAATCGTAATAATATATCACCGTTGTAAACCCCTGCTCAAGTATGTAATCCATCGATCTTCTCTCTGGATGAAATAGCTATTGCTCAAATATATCAGTTCCATCTATCTGTTTGCTTTCTTCAGAACCATTTACCCCTTTGATACGAAAAGGTATTCTCCATCTGAGTTGTAGTATGAAAACATGATTTTCTCTTGAAAACACCTGTAACTTTTAATATTATTTCAGTAATATTTGGTCTAGGTTAGAATCTGTGATGATTTATACATCTAACTTTTATGGCTATTTAACATCTCATAAACTAATGATTTGTTTTGATTTCAGAAGTAAGAATGGAATCCCAGTCATCTCATTCTCTTCCAATTCCATCTGAATCACCCAATATGATTGAATCTGAAACACGTGAAGCTGCCACTAGTCGAAAACGAGCAAGGAACAAATCAGCAGCACTTAAGCTCCCAGTTTCTGAATCTCGAAGCATCTATTGGAGTCATTGTCAAAAAGGGTCAAGGACCTTGTTGGATGGCACTGTTCAACCAATCGGAACGTGCACGTATTGTCAAACGCAGATCCCAGCGAGTCATGGAAGTACCAGTGGGTTGAAAAACCACTTAGAGAAGAGGTGCAAATCAAGTCCCTTGTACAAAGCAAGTGGAAGTGACAAAAGTCAGTCTGTATTAACGAATGAGACAATGGGACAGGTCAGTGAATTGGTGTCTCATACTTTCAATCAAAAAAGGTGTGAGTTGAAGGTTACTCAATATGTTATTATCGATGAGATGTCATTCCGAGCTGTTGAAGGGAAGGGCTTTGTGAGTCTTGTGCATGAACTACAACCAAGATTCAGAATCCCAGATCGTAAGAAGGTGGCAGGTATGATTTATGACTTATTTTTAGTTGAGAAAGCTAAAATAAAAAGTGTCATAAGTGGGCAAAGGGTAAGTATCACAACTGATGCTTGGACTTCCATACAAAACATAAATTACATGGTTGTTACTGCCCACTTTTTGGACAGTGATTGGAAATTGCACAAAAGAATAATTAATTTTACAAAAATCACAAGTCATATTGGGGAAAATATTGGTAAGGTGGTTGAGGTGTGTCTGAGAGAGTGGGGGATTGAAAAAGTATTTTCGATAGTAGTTGACAATGCTTCTTCAAATGATACAGCTATTGACTACTTGAAAAAGAGTGAAAATCGAAAATACATTGATGTTTGAAGGAAAGTACTTGCATTTGAGGTGTGGATGTCATATACTCAATTTGATTGTTAAGGATGGTCTCAAAGAACTCAATGATTCAATTGAATCTATAAAGAATGCGGTTCTTTTCATTCATTCTTCACCATCTAGGTTGCATAAATTTAGAGAGTTTGCCGTATTAGCGAAGTTTTCTAATACATCAACTGTGCCTATGGATGTAAAAACAAGATGGAATGCAACTTATAAAATGCTTGAAGTTGCATTGAAGTTTAGGAGAGTGTTTGAAAGGATGGCTGAAGAGTGGTTACCATTTATGAAGTACTTTCGTGAAAAAAATGAAAAGGGTAAAGTACGGGTAGGGCCTCCAAGTCATGACAATTGGGAGAATGCTAAAGCTTTTGTGCACTTTTTAAAAAAGTTTTATGATGTAACCTTAGAGTTAAGTGCATCAAAAACTCCCACCTCTCAATTGCTTTATCAATCCATGATTGCACTACAAATTGAGATAGAAAAAAAGAAAAATGACAATTCTGACCCAATTCTCAAGAAGGTGGCTAGTGCAATGATGTTGAAGTTTCAAAAGTATTGGGGCGAGTGGAATACTATGAATCCTTTAATTTTTATTAGCAATATTTTGGACCCAAGAAACAAGCTTCAGATGATTAAAGTCAGTATCAAGAAGCTGCCAGCTACTTCTATAAAGGTCCAAGATTTTGTTGATAAAGTCAAAAGTGACTTAGCGACTCTGTGGGCAGAATATAAAGGCATAAATGAGACCACTAATGTTGAGCGGCAAAGTATGCAATTGGAGTTGGAAGGTGGAGATGGTACTAATAATGCAGGTGATGGTCTTTGGGATGAGTTGTTTACCGACGTTGAAGCACAAAATGAAGAAGAGCAACTCCAAGAGATTTCTAATGAGGTAGATAAGTACCTAGCTGATGAGATTGAGAAGAGATCTAATCAATCTTTTAATCTTTTGGAGTGGTGGAAAGGAAGTGAAACTAGGTATCCAATTCTTTCATTGATTGCAAAAGATATTTTTGCAATACCAAGTTCAACAGTTGCTAGTGAGTCTGCTTTTAGTTTAGGTAAAAGAGTTGTTGATCCCTTTAGAAGCAGTTTAAGTCCTAAAATGGTTGAAGCTTTGATTTGTACGAATGATTGGTTAAGAGCAGAGGATTTCAGCTTTTATAAGGATCCAACAGATGATGACCTTGACTTGTATAAAGAGATTGAAGAAATTGAAAAGAGTAAAGCTTTTTTATTGCATTAACTTTAGATTTAAATGATAAATTTTAATATTAATCTAATGCATCTTTATATTTCTTCTACAGATGCAAATGTGACTCAAGAACGTTCTCAGACTCAGCTGCCAGTATGAATGCATGGTTGCCATTGGGTAAAATCATTTGCGCAATACTTACTGCTTTGAGATATGTTTGGAGCCTGCTTTTATTTACTCCAGTAATAATTTTAAATGTTTTTCAGTTTTCATCTAGATAGATATGTATGCAACCAGTACTGCTTTTATTTAGTGCAAAATATTTGATCAGTACCACGCTCGTGCCCTGAACATTGAGCCTTCAGAAATTTGCACAATAGCTTGACTCTCTGGATTAAAACCCTTATTTTGCACAATAGCTTTACTATTTTGTTATTTCTCCATTAATTGTTTTTTCACCTTTTTCTTTCTCTTTTCAGAGCTCAAGGAATGATTAAACGATAGCCATGAGTTCAGTGATCATGTGGATTTCAGATTTCGAGCTGCTTCATCTATTTTGCTTTAATGAATTCTATGCTATAATTTCATTTAAATATGTACTTGAATTGTTTTTTTGTCAGATTTAATGTGCTTTGACATTTTAAATTTGCATTGCCTTGATTCCCTTGAGCCTTAGATTCTTGAATAGGGTTGAACATGATTGTAAGTTTTTCATATTTTTTGTTTTAAAATTGGTATTTATTGACTTCGGTCCTACAAATGTTTCAAATTATGTTGTTGATGTTCCTATGCTAGAGAATCTGTCATTTAGGGGCTGGAGAATCTGTCTATGATATTTATTGTAGGTTTTTGTTAATAACTTTCGAATTTATTATGTAAGATTTTAGTGTGACAAGTCATTAGATTTTCGGTATACCGATATGAATTTCGGTATACCGAATATACCGATTATTCGGTACGACATCAATATGCTATTTGGGGTTACCGAAACTTCGGTATACCGAACCTTCGGTATACCGAAATTTCGGTACGGCAACGGTATGCCATTTTCGTATACCGGTATTTCGGTACGGTATACGGTATGACACAAATTTTTCGGTATGCCATACCGAACCAGCCCTAGTCAAATCTCCATGCTGCCCGAGGGCTCCTACTTCATACATGCTACACTTAGATAAATTTCTAAGTCCCAAGAGTTCTTACCCTCGGTGACAAGTTTCTAAGTCTCGAATCTCCCTGCAGCCCGAGGGGTAACACGATTGAAGGCTTGGTGAGACTACACTTAGAAACATTTTCTAAGTCCTAACTATTGTTGGGCCCTCGGCAATACATCCAGCGAAGGGTGCCCAACTACCGAAGGCTAAAACTGTATTGAAACACTTAGGAAAATTTTCTAAGTCCTAAGCACCTCACCTCCGGCTATCTCACGAAGGCTACATGAAACCAGAGGGGAGGAACCGGCCGAGGGCCAACAGGTGAACAAATACTTAGAAATATTTCTAAGTCCTGAATGTTGTGCCCTCGATGAAAGGTTCAACTGACTAAAGATTACTGGTAGCCGAGGGCTACAAGAAGCACTACACTTGGAAGAATATATTCTAAGTCCTAAACACACATTCAAAAGGGCGAAGGCATACATTCAAAAGAAAGCGACGGCATACATTCGAAAAGAAATGAATTAAAGAGGACAAGTCATATACACAAAGCCCGAAGGCAATCATTCATTTGTCAAAAAGAGGAAATTCAAATGTATATGTTACAATATATGGCCGAGGCCGAGAGTACACAGATGTCCATTACATAAACAAAAAAAGATGTTCAAAACACTACTAAATACAGATCATATATTGTCAGCTCCGGGGGCAGCCTCTTCCGCGGGCTTTGAGATGACCTCCGTATCAGCCTCTGCCTCATCACCCTCGGCCTCTTTCAGGAGTTCGGAATCCTCCAGTTCTGGCCTCTCGACGCCCTCGGGAAGGGGGACTCTGATATCAGGCTGGAGGGGGGAGACCATATGCCGCCGGGTCGAAGGCCGTTGGTTCGATTTTCAGGTGCCGTGCAAGCCTCATGTAGATCAAGGCCTGGGTGAAGAACTCCCCCCCGACATAGTAATCTTCACCCTTTCGGGCTAGCCACATCGCCCCGGGGCCCTTCACCCACCCGTCGGCAGAACTCTCCACGACCGAGGCCACCCAGTCTTTATGGCCTTCGGTGTTCCAGCCCTCGGTCATGAAAGCAGCGACTGCACCGGCGGCGGCTTCTGCTTTGGCGGCCTCGGCATCTTCGGAGGCCTTCTTTGCAGCCTCGGCAGCAGCCTTCTCCACCTCCGCCTTTTCCTTAGTCGACTTCTCTGCTTCCGCCCTCACCTGCTGGAGGTCCCTCTCCAGCTGAGCCATCTGCCTCATGGCCTCGGCATTGTCGTGAATCAGCTTCTTAAAGGACTCCTCCTGTTGGGCCTTCTGAAGGCGCCACTCATCGAACCTCCTGGCGTGTTTGCCGAGGGCTATGCAGGCCTATTGAAACAGACAACAAAGTAAGGGATTAGGCCACTATGCAAAGGAAAAATAAAGAAGAAGAAAAGAAGGAGAAGAACTTACGGTAAGGGAGGACCGGAGGATTTTGGACTCGAGGGCTTCATCATCGAGCTTCCCGAGGGCCCGCCTATCCAGAGCGGGCGTAGCCCCGCCCAAAAATTCTCGGGGGTCTACTGTGTCATGCGTAATGGCTGCCCCCTTCGACAGGGAGAACTGTATGTCCTCCCGAAGCAAGCTTGCCTCACCACCTTTACCCGAGGGCGGGCAAGGAGCAGTTGGAGCACTGGGCTCGGAGGCGGAATGCTCGTCCACCACCACCACCAGGGGAGCCTTCTTCACGGCGTCCCCTTTCTTCTGCTTCTTCCCCTCGGGGATTGGGGCCTTGCCGGCGGCCTTCCGCTTTGCGGCCTCCCCCGAGGGCTCACTGCCCTTCTTCAGCTCCCCGAGGGGCTTCTGCTTGACGGGCTCCTTCTGGCCCGGGGCCTTCACCTTTTGCTTTTTGAGGTTGGCGAAGGCATTGAGGTCCATGTCGATACCTGGAAAAAAAAATAAGCGGTTAAAGCCGAAGGAGAAAAGATACAACAAGAGTCATATCTACACCTAAATATGCATAAGTCTAAAAGACCGAATGCTCTCAGCCACTACCTCCGGAGGCTCTCTCGAAGGCCGGGAACTTTTCATCTGTTTCCCCCAGGAAGCGATATCGCCGGAACCCGAGGGTGTAAAGGTCCTCATCTTGGGTGCACTCCTTGATGGTTATATTTTTGTCTCGGCCCTCCGGGATCTTGTCCAGGATCCTGTCGTCTTTCTCGAGGGCGGCGCTCCTCCTCTTCTCATGCCTCCTAAACCGGTCACGCAATTCCCTCGGGAAGGGACTATCGGCCAACTTCACGTAGCACCACCGGTCTTTCCACCCTTTGTTCGAGGAGAGCGCCTCAGTGAAAAGCTTGAACAGGGCCACTTGCTGCAAATTTGCGAAGCCCTCGGCATTCGCATCCCCCCCCGGCACAAGTTGAAGCTCTGGAAGAAGAGATCCAGGCTAGGTGTTACCCCCCGGGATTTGCAGAGCTGGAGGAAGCCCGTGATGTAGGAATGGCTGTTCGGGGTCAGTTGTCAGGGGACCAAACCCACGAACCGGAGGTACTCCCGGAGGAAGGGGTGTAGGGGGAACCGGAGCCCCATGGACATGGAAAGAATGTGCACCGCAATGCAGCCCTCGGGAGCCCGGGAGAGGACGTCATCGGGACCCGGTGTCACCACGATGGCCGAAGGGCCCACGTGTAATTGGGTGACATAGAGATCCGCCGCATCAGCCTTCGACCTTATCTCTAAGGCGGCGGTATTCAGGTAGGAATACCCCTCGGGCATGTCGAGGGGCTTCCCTTGGTCTGCGACGCTGCCCTTCTTCTTGGGAGCAGCGACCTTGGCCTTCTTTTTTCCGGGGGCCACCCGAATGGGAACCGCATTCAGCGGCCGAGAGGTGCTGGCCTCACCAGTGCCCCGAGGGGGGAGAACAGCAACGGTGACCCTCGCGTCCTCTTTCTGCGCCTCTTCTTCAGCTGCTTGCCAGGCGAGGGCCAGCTCTTCATCTTCGCACTCTTGTTCGAAGCCCTCGGCTTCCGCCTCAGCAACGAGGGCTTTCTGCAGCTCCATGGCGACGACGACATCTTGTCCCACCGAGGACTGTTCGCTTGTGGACTCCACGTCCGAAAAGACTTCATCCTCCATCGAGGGCGCCCCCGAGATGTCTTGGGAATCACTTTGGGAAGACATCTTGACGCTGGTTCGAAGGCTCATAAATACTAGAGTTTTCTAAAAAGTTCTATCTCCTAGCCTAAAGGCACAGGGCACAGCTAACTAGAAGGAGAAGAGCAGGGGGGAACTGACCTTAAGGCAGGGATTGATCGAGGGCGGCTGTTTCTCTCTCTAGAAATTTTGGCAGAGCTTCGCTAAAATGATTTTGCACAAGGGGAAGTGAAGTCGGCCATGGGGTATTTATAGGCGCTGGGATCCGGGCTTGGGCCTGGAAACCGGGCCTCCGGTTGGACTGCCATCATTACCAACCGTGGTTTCACCCAATCGGTGACGCCCGCCCACGGACAGCCAACGGCCGCCCACCACGTGGCAACCCCCTCCAACGCCTATATCCTGACGTTACATATTCCAACGGCTATATTTCCAACTGCTATATTTTGGGAGCCCCCGGGCTTTTTACTTCACTCCATTTCATCAAGAAGAGCCCCTGGGTACACATAGCCGGAGACACTCACGGTTTGTGCCCCACACACTACATAACAGATGCCCTCAGGATCACTCCTTCATAAGCCCAAGGCTTCATATCGGGCCACCCCTCGGGGATCCCCCCTCAGCACTTTGAGGGTCGGGTAGCCCCTGGGGAGTATGCCTCATTGACGGATAGCCCACGACACACAGGTAAGGGGAGCCCTCGGATATCCTCATCACCAACTAATCAACAAACAGGGGACACCCCGGTAACACTTCAACTACTACCATCATTCATTACGCCCTCGATCCCCAGATCGAGGGACCCCCCTTCGGCACCTCCCAGGACATCAACACCAAGCCTCCGGCTAATCAACACATGAGCCCTCAGAACTAGGAGAGCCTTCGGCATCTGCATCATTCTCCATTTCGAACCAAGGTTTCACATTTTCGATTCATCATTGGGGGAATTCGGTGCACTCTTTTTCCCTCATTAGGATTTTTTCCCACAGGGTTTTTCCTAATGAGGTTTTTAACGAGGCATCCCCCCAAAATGAAACGAAAAGCGTCAGCCTTCGGCCCAAAGCAGCAACGCAACTACTCTACTCCTTTTCACCACTTTGCAAGTGCCTCAAGGAGTGGGGGACTGGAGGACCCCCTCGGGAAAAATCACAAAAATCACAAACATGACCCCTCAAGTCCCGACATGTGGGTAACTGAGGGACTGCCCTCGGAAGAATAAACAAACAGCAAACTACCCACAACTCTACAAACTACGACGGAACAAAGGCAGAAGACAATTACTCCTTTTCCCTCAAGTACCTTTCGCCAAAAGGAGTGAGGGACTCCTGATGGAGTATATGGCCCGGGAACCTCCGGCCCACAGACTCCTACTACTCCAATAAAGGCCCAATAGGCCCAGGAAACACAACAGGCCCAAATCATGGCGCCCAAGATACCAAGCAGCCCACAAATACGCACCAGGGGTGCCTTCGCCCCCCT